GTGGGGAGGACATTTCAGCCCGTGCTTTTCCCCACCAACCACCTCCCCTCTCTCCCTCGTCCCGCCGCCGGGCCACCGCCCAAGATTCCGGCGAGAGCATGCCGAAAGGCCGCCACATGCACGAGATTGCCCTCCCCTCCTCCTGCGTCGGCGGGCCGAAAAATTGCGGATTTGCAGCCCTTCATCGCGGGCGGACGGATTTGGCTTTTCCGGCCGCCGGTGGTTGCGCAAGCGATGGAATGGTCGAGGAGCATCTCGCGCAGCCCCGGCAAGGCCGCATCGCCGCATGCATGTACAGGTCCGTCCCCCCGCTGCTGCCGACGGTTTGCAGGCATGGATTCGGCCGGCCATCCACCGGGCTCGGCGCTCGCGCAACGGCACTGTGGCTCGCCGATGCCGCTCATACAGTGGGACGACTGCACGCGAACAGTGTTGCGGCTAACTTCGGGCACGCCGAAGCACCTCGGATGGGTGTTCTTCAAATGCGAAAACGACGGGGTACATGCTGTTTTCATTCGGCTCATTTTGATAACTCATTCTTTGATTCAATTGCGGTAGCTCATTTCAAACATCATCATGTGTGTAGGAAGATGAATGTTCATTTTGGTTTTATGAAGGCGAATACATTGATTTATTGATAGAAAGAAACTTAATAGACGTTCGTGCACTCCTTAGTAGAATCGAAGGTAATGATGCGGTTGCATGTGCAATTAGAGGTGAAGTAACGTCTACTTCTTTCGAACAAAAAATGAAGAAAGAAGAATGCAAAATTAAGAATCCACAGATCAACAATGAACGCATGGAGAAGATATTGGTCCAACTAGTGGGGAGCAATTATGAAAGTTGAAAATCTTCTAAAATGCATATTTGTGGTTCTTGTTTTCTTTGGTCTTACTATTCTAGTAAAGATTTGGTGAGAGATTATGTGTCCAATGTTGTTGAAAAAGCAAAGAAATGCATTATGTTGGATCAAATTGAGATGCAAATTTAGGTATTTCGTGCTGGGGGGAGCGGCGTCAGACTAGACCCTACAAAGCCGACTTATAAAAGAGCATATTCCGTGAATATCCTTTTTTACGGATCCGTTCTGCGGGGTCTGCCTGTGCGACCGTCCGCGCAGGCCTGTAAAACCTTTTTTCGCGAACTACAAATGCGTTTTACGGAATCTGCTAGAGATGTTTTTATGTGCAGGCTGAAAATCTGTTGGAGCAGCACGATCGAATTGATCACAGGTGCCCGATCGGAGTGCCGGCCAGATCCTGTGCTGACTTCTCTACGGCCAAAGTGTTTGAGGATCAGGCGGACGCACTGCCTCATCTCCAAACACCGTGGCGGTGCATCTCCATTGCAGTTTGGCTGCGACCAAACTAAAAAGTCACTCTCTCTTTTTTGGCGCATCAAGTGGGAATTTTATTTCATGATAACAGGTTATGATCGAGATGCAATATATCATCACAACATTTTTCTGATAAATGACGCTTTTATTAATTTAGAGTGTAGCATCAAGTGAATACAAAACATGATGAATGACACCCGACCCTATATCTACTATCATTATAAAAGGAAGAGAAGCAGATCCAAACAATTACATCCATCCATCGTCAAAATCTAATGGCTCTTAATTCTTCTGTGTTTAACGCTACCAACCACGGGTTAAGCCACGATCGATCGATGGCTAATCTGCCTCGCGGTAAAAAAAAAGAGAAAACCGTCCGCACGACCTCCTCCTTCTCCTCCCGCACGACCTCCTCCTCCTCCCGCGCCGTTCGCCTCCCGCAGCCGCGCCCTTCGCAGCAGCCTCGCGCCGAGCCACAGGAAGCCGCGCCCGTCACCGCCGCCTCGCGCCGCCGGAGTCACGGGAAGCCGCCGCGGGTCGCCGGGAGCCTCCCCAGCCGCGGGAGCCGCCCGCCGCAGGTCGCCGCCCCGCCGGCGCGCCGTTCGCCGCCGCCATTCACCGCCCGTCGCGCCCCGCGGGAGCCGCCGCAGGTCGCCGTCGCGCCGTTCGCCGCCCGCCGCCCATACAAGATCCAGGCATCCAACCCTTTCTCCACGAACCCACTCCAGATTGCTCCATTCATTCCGTAAGAAGGAGAAAAAATCGCCACTGATCGTCCCTTCCTTCTGGTTCAGCCGTCACCAGGTGTGTGTTAAGGGAGGATCGGACACGCGTGTGCCAGGGAGGATGCTGCCACCACGCTCTTCGAAGATGTGTGGAGTCGTCGTGCCTGTACGGTTGACACCTCTACCACCGTCGCTGCCTTCGAGGAGGATTCGTGCCTGCATCTTAATGTTCGCCAAGCCCATTACATCGTTGGTTCAGGACACACAACAAAACAAATCTGAACCTCAGCGACATATTTGCTGGTAAAGTCCTCTCCCTCTTATATCTCGGTAGGATGCATTCTTTAACGATTTATTTGCTGGGGTTTGTTAAGAAATTCCAAAGATTTCAGATTCTGTTTGGTTGTGTCATTCAATATCCCTGGGTGAACAAACTTGTGACTTTGGTTGTTGGTAGCTTAATTATTTGGTCTTCTATCTAATAGACAGATGTCGAGTATAAAATTTGAATCCAACTCTGATTGATAAGACTTGATTTTTTTAATCCTGCTGATGAATGGCCTACTATTTCAACCTCTGATATATTGCTGAATTTATAACCTGTCAGATCAGGGTAGTTACAACCTATGAAATCTTCCTGGACGTTTGAACCTATGGGATTGGGGTAGCCAATTTTGTATCGTTGATACGATGGCTACATAAACAATTCAGCAAGCTACATCTGCTTCATCGGGTTGATGCTTCATGCATGCTCAGCAAGTTTCCTTTCCCTTGAGTCGTCTTGCCACGGGTCGGTTTGTTCTTGCGCAGACAGATGTGTAGACCACATCTTGTAGATGGCTGATATGGATTATGCTCCACCCCTCCATGACTTCACTCGAGTTAATTCCCCGTGATGCGAGTGACACAAAACTATCCTCGGTATCCACAAAGATCACCCTGGGTGATGGCCTTCCTAATATTTAGTTATTTTCATTTTTCTGATGCTTATGGCTATAAGTTAACTCCAAATAAGTTTTTTTAAGTATGACACAAAATTGAAAATTCTGATTACATCATGGTGATATTTTTTCTTGTAGGGAGAGAAAGAGGAGAATTTAGCACGGATTGCAACAAGGAAATACAATCAATTAAAGAGCAACTTTCATAATTAAACTCCTTGAAGTCCAATATAGTGGGTTTAGCAACATCAGATTTTTATTTCTTTCAATCCCACTTTCATCAATTTCATCATAAAGATCTAAATACTCCGGATTTTTAGAACGCCTTCTAGATAAAGGAAGATCATATTTAGTTTCATCAAGATTCATATTGCAAAACATAGAGTTAATAGGGGACACATCAATAACTTTTAGATCTTCATCTTGATTTTCATAGGAATTGGAAGAACACGCTTTAATAAAGGCATCTTTGGAAGCACGCATCCTAGCGGTTCTTTCCTTGCACTCATCAATGAAAATTCTCATGGCTTTGAGAGACTCATTGATATCATGCTTAGGAGGAATAGAT